GAGGTGCCATTTAAGTCCAGCGTGAACGAGCTGGAAAAATAAGACAATTTTTGAATTTACATCGTACTTCACATGAAGTAGCCTAACCGGATCATTGCCATCGATATCCTGGCGGAATCGCTGCTGCAGAATGCTCGACACGTAGAGATAGGCGTCCAGTAATCTGTCAGCTTCCCATAAAACGTCCTCTGATTCTTCGCTTTCCCATCCTTGGATCAATGCAAGAAACATCCTACAACAAGTAGCCATTAATCATTCAAAGATAAGTAAGGCTGGTGTCAGAGTCCGCGATCCGTCGCAGGTTCGCTGGTTTCGCGCGATTTGCGCGATTCACGCGACGGGTCACGGAAATCACAAGTGCCCGATCAATACTGCAAGGTGTTCTCCAATCCTGCCGCCACTTCTGCTTGATAGTGATGGCTGAATGACGACTGCTCATGATTCCACTTGTTTCATATTCAGTGTTTCAAATGTTCAAATGGGGCACTTGCAATTTTTGCGATCCGTCGCAGGTTTCGCGCAAATCGCGAAAATCGCGAAAATCGCGAAATCGCGAATCGCGCGACTGCGACGGATCGCGGACTCTGACATCAGCCTATAACATCCTGTTCGCTCAAATCTAAGTGAAGGTGGAGGGGGATTGCATTAATTTCTGTCGTTTTTTAACATTTATTTTGCTGAAGTTTCCCTGATCACATTGATCAAAGTATGCGTTTCTGAAGGCTACTACTTATTTGATCTTCTAGCAAAAAGTGGCTTTTGCGATGAGCCAACTCTTTTCTAGAACCAATATTTTCACTACCCAATCCTACATTTTCGAATATTATCGATCGACAATCTACTCTTTCTGCCTACATTATGAACGACAAGAATCATTGCAACCCAAAATGCATTCAATATATCTGCCAATTTTCAAGTAGCCACTAATTGAGCGATCAAAGGCCCTGATACCCTCTTTAAGGTTGCTTCTTCAATAAAAAACCCTTCCTACCTTCATGTGAGCAAAGTACATAAGTCCACAGAATGAAAACGCACCTCTGTCTCCCAGATGCGTGGAGGCCATAAGTCATCATTTGTGCGGAAAAAGGACTCTCGAATAGAGCTCTGCAGAGTAAGTAGAAATTGACAGCTCTCCTTCGTCACATCAAAACGACCGAACCATCGCAGTATGGTTGATCGTATACACCTATATTGAACAAAAATCCATTAGATCACAGCTACCGCCCCACTTCTGGACCAGGGTGAATATCGCTTGAGGATTCCTCAACGGCACGTCGAGGATTCTCTGCCCGATCAGAGACGATCTCTCGCGCGGACATTCACACTCGCCATGCCGTGCCGTCTGTGCTCTCCGCGCGGATGTTCACTCTCGGCACTACTCTCGCATGGTAGAGAGCTATGGTCGAGGATTTCCTCGACCGTTATTCACCCTGCTGGACCAACAGTGGCATCAGAGCGCAGTTACGAAGGAGCACAGGTTGATATAGAGAAGCATGAAATTGCACATTCAATGTAAAAGGAAGTCGAAGATATAATACACTAATTTGAATATTGTCTGATATTCTCCAAGGGGAACAGAATTTACAGGGAATTTGATGCGATCGATCGATCAAATACGAAAGCGCCCTAAGGGCGGTAATGTACATAAATTACACAACTGCATAAATGAACGTACTTTACATGATGTATCATGTTCTGAGCGAACAAGTCCTGAAGCGGTGTTGATGTTGGGCACTGGGAGACCAAAGTGGCCACCAAGTCTGCAGCCGCATTGTAATGAGTTGATTGTCAAGTTTGCTCTCCAACTGCTCACAGATCGTTTCGATAAACTTTTCAGTCTGAATAAATATAAACCAATACATTGAAAGCAAATCGCAAAACCGATAAGGCTCAGCAACTAGCCTTAGTCGTTGGAACAAGTGGCAATACAATTACGAATACCTTAACAACTTCATCACGCTGCGTTGGACTCATTTCGCGGAGAAAAATCTTGAGACTACCGTTTACGCAGATGCGGGGTCTAGTTCATCACTACAAAGTCAAAAGCTGAAACAGCATAGTTATCAGCAAAACTGTGGAACGAGTTCACCCAATGACATTTGAGTATCATTGCAATGATGATAAATGTAGGAATTGCCTACCTTTGTGCTGATCGACATAGTTTTCACAACAAAATTCACCGCACCATCAAATAACTTCGATCCACGTTCTAGTTCAGAGAGAAGAACGAAAGTGTGCAGTATATACCTTAACAAACTTTGGTTTTCTGAGCTGGGGACAAGAGGAGTCTAGTTAGCGTTGCAAGATGGATTAATCGTAAGATCATTTCAGCAATTTCCGCGAATCGTTTGAGCAAAACTCAGAGAGCGCCCGTTTCAAGAAAACTTTGGAAGTTTCAAACCTGAAAAATCCCTCGAAATCAGGAAGACGATGCCTTCTTTCAAGAAAAAACGTCTCTATTCTATTTGTTCCGAGAAAAATGAATTTATTACATTTTTGCACAGCGGCAATAAAAAACATGTATGGCTCAAAAATAGAGTGGGAGGTTTCGTTGATCTACGAGAAAAGTGAATTTATTACATTTTTGCACAGCGGCAATAAAAAACATGTATGGCTCAAAAATAGAGTGGGAGGTTTCCTTGATCTACGCACGACTCAGGATCCGATTTAAGAATCGCGCGTCACGCGATCCTTAAATCGGATCCTGAATCGTGCGTAGCAAAGGTAGGCGGCCATTTGCTACTACAGCACTTTTACTATCAAGTTTTTTATAACCCAAACCGGCTGTTCAATTGCAGAAATGGCTCCCCAAAAATTTGACTTCGGTTCTACTCATATACAGGATAACACACTTACCGATGAAGAATGTTCATTTCATCAGCCGAAAGACTTTCTCTCAAACACATGCCCTTTTTCGGAAGAATTCGGGCTAGCGCTGCCAAAAACATCGCCTCGTCTTCAGAGTCACTAAAATTCGGCTTCACAAATAGAAGTCAATTTGAAAAGCGGTTTTAGAACGAGATTAACGAAGATTCTACTACTTCTCACCTTATTCGACGCTTTTCAAAGCAAATCATCCATGCCTTCACTATTTCCACCAAACGGGCTGGGTCCGCAGCTTCGAGCATTGCTGTCAGGATTACCCAGTCAACAGTGGGATGACGTATGCATTCTCCATCATTTGCGTCCAGGAAATGCACCAGAAGTTTCGCTGCAGCGAGCCTTGTTGCATGAGAGAACTTAAGAAGGATATCAAAAAAGGAAAATTGGCCTTTGCGGAGCAGTCAAAAAAGGAATGGCCTTAAAAAATTAATTCCAAAAAATGTAATGTATCCATAACAGAAACGAGATCAACACACGATCACCTCTTTATTGGATAAAACGCTGTGAACGTCTTCTAGCATGTCATCATTGATATGTGGTGCATTCCGCGCACTCTGAAAACTCTTGGTGTAGCTGGAAAGGTGTTAAATCCCTCCCGCGAAGAAGAGTTTCTTGTCGTTAAATATCGCTGGATCGAGGAACAGATCCAAAAAAATCAAAACAAAAAACATACCGTGAACTTATTAAAGAAGTCTCGATCATCCTCCGAAAAAACTATCGCCATCACTGGAGGAAATTCGATGGAAGAAACTCGAATTATATACAAACACACTTATGTACAATTACCGTAGGGATTCTGAAAAAAAGAGGGTGTAACGAGAAGCTCCGCATTGAATATCTTTACAACCATCCCCTTTTATTAGGTTAAAAGAGAAGTTCTGAAACACCTCAAAACCCAATTCTGAACTTATCATTCATACGTGACTCTTCATTGATGCTTCACATGAAGGGTCACCTACAACGTTGAGGATCTTGAAAAAACGGAGAGTAAGAGGAAAAAATTCCAAAAGTGGGCTATGGAGTGTTTCCCTACACCCAATAAGCCCACATTTAGACGTGTGGTGAGATGCTCCAGCCAAATGAAATCGCAAATATGACATTTGAGATGGAGTACCACCGTAAGCCTAGCGCTTACAAACCGGACCAACCATGTGTTCCGCAGATCTCAAAAATTTTACGACACCACTCCTACCCTCGCCTTCAAATGACCAGAAATTGTGCAATTGCAGAAATTGACGTGGCATTAACGTGGCATCGATTCAAGAACATCTTTGAGCTCACACGTGATGTCACCTTTTCATCGAGAATTTAGCCACGTGTGCCACGTGGCTTTCTGGCTGCAATGACACAGCAGTGTACATGGGTAGAGTTCGCTACAGTCCCCACCACAACCGTGACCTCCAAATTTTCGCAACAATACCTAGCCGAAATAGCCCAACTCCGCCCACTTCCTCGCTGCAAAGCAGCTGTTGACGGGGAAGGTAGAAGAAATGTTTAAGTAAACCAAAAATCTCTAGAATTCCACCAGTCCCCTTACATATTCATGAAGTTGACACTCAGCATTGGACAATGTCGGAACGTATTTACTTCTTTCCCGGTACGGTCGACCCCGTTTTCAACTACCAAAATAAACTCCATTTCAATCATTTTGATCTTCACTAGCGCCAGCAATACAGACCCTTTGAATAACCTCGATCACGACCTCCGCTCCCTTTAAAGTTGCCACTTCTCGGATTGAATTTGCGTACAAGTCCTCATCTCAATCAAAGCCAAATATGATATTCAGCATTGCGCAAAGGTGTTTGAATGCCTAATTCATATGTCGCAAAACACCAAGGATTCCGTGCTGACTTTCGTTAGGTATTCAGTCAGCATTCCCGCGATCGCTATGTCGCAGTTCCGGCTGATTTTCAGCGCACGCGTTGCGCGAGCGGGTCACGGAAATCACAAGTGCCCGATCAATACTGCAAGGTGTTCTCCAATCCTGCGCCACTTCTGTTTGATAGTGATGGCTGACTGACGACTGCTCATGATTCCACTTGTTTCATATTCAGTGTTTCAAATGTTCACAATGGGGCACTTGCAATTTTTGCGATCCGTCAGTTTTCGCCGCAAAATCTGCGAATCCAGCAGACTCTTGCGACGGATCGCAAAAACTCCAAGTTGTCCCATTTTGTACACGATCACAGCACTTGAATATGCAACAAGTGCAATTATAAGCAGTCGTCGTTCAGCCACCACCAATCAAGCAGAAGTGGCGCGGCGGGATTGGAGAACACCTTGCAGTACTGATCGGGCACTTGTAATTTCGTGACCCGCCGCGTGACATCGCGAAAATCAGCGAAACCTGCGACGGATCGAGAACTCTAACACCCCCAGCATACAGGACTATTCCATAATGGCTTTAAAGTATGTCAAAAAACCGAAACTATTTAGGCGTACTATCACGAATAATGAAATCTCAACTCACTAAACTCGTTTAGAAGTGCATAACATTGCTACTTTACGTCGACCGTAGCAAAGACATGACTGCTTACGATAAAATCAAATAAAGCTCTAGAAAAAACTCTCTAATAAAATGTGGTCAGCTTCTGCGCTTCAAGAGCGGAGCACTTTTATGACAATACTTTCAGCTCCCCTAACTTTAAAAACCATTCTGTCCTTTGTCCGACAACAAACGAAACAGCCCCAGTCATTTTCTCTCAGTTATTCTCTAGTCTCAAATGAACTGTGAGAGATACTAGCGCCACTTGTGATAAAAGACTAACCTGTAACCAACTCCTATGATTCTGGATTCTGAGGAACTTTTAGATTTGGTAATGGGCCCCACCACATTCGTCTGTGCTCGGCATCCACTATACGCGTCTATCTACTATCTGTAATTGTCAGAATGCTTCCTTCTATAAAAAAACAGAATTTAAGCGAAAATAAGCATTATCAAACTTTCGACAATGGGCTTGCTTCTAGGAAAACAAACGTTTTGCACTGCTAGTTCTACAAGAGTACTTGTAACCCGCTCCGTAGTCATTTCATTCAGATATCACGTCGACAGTAAATAGCGAATTGCATTGAGTATTGCAAACATTATAATAGAGACTTCATTCCCAGACTCAACAATTCAAAAATTTACGAGTCACGAAAAAAGTCCATTAACAACAAACAACGAGGGTGGTGCATTTAGAACTTGGCAAATCCTTTCTTCGTAGATCCGGCTTTGTTAACTTTCAAGACATTGAACCGCACAGTTTTCGAGAGCGGACGGCACTCACCGATAGTGACCAAATCTCCAGGGGCTATATCTCTGAAAGACAAACATTATGGAAAAAATCATTTACAAGTATAGTGATACTGCAATAGATCAAACTCAGAAATAAAAGCAAACGCTTCACAAAAAAAAACTAGCAAGCAAAATCTGTTGGAAATGTAGTCGCAAAGTCAGCTGTAAGCAATCATTACGTTATTGGCAAATTGTCGGAATGCTGGACCGCTTCAGTAAACGTACACATACCAACCTCGATACCCAAACAACTAAGCAACGACAAGTGAATGTGCCGTGGTTACAAGAGAGAAGTAGAAATCACTACACGTTACTAAGAGCTTAACAAAGGATAAAACATTTCCCCTGAATAAGGGGAAGAGAAGAGGAATGCAGAGACCGCATTCGGGCAAGCCACCATCCGAATCGATTTGCACACGCTCGATCGTGTGGACCGGGGAACAGAAAAGATCGTGTTCTTCATCATGCTGACTATTCCTTACATTGCTCGTTAAAATGGAATTAAATCGATTATGTCCTGAGCGTGAGGCACAACTGCCGACAGTTTACCTAATCTAGCCTACACAGAAGCATTCATAGTCGATCGACCGATCGTAACGATCGCACAGATGATCGATACGCATCCAATACTGTGCGATCGTTACGATCAGACGAACAACTATGAATGCGCCCTACTTAAACTTTACAGGACCAGTCGATGTGCAAATCAGTTTTCTGTCCTCTCAAAAGTTAATCAATCCCCGGAGGGATAGAAAGCCTAACAGCCTGAGCAATAATCTATCCAAAATTTGATTCTCGGTTGTGGGCGTGCCACCGCCGGGACTTGTCACTACACATTCTACACCCTAAAGTCAGTGGAGAGGTTCAGGAAGATCCCTAATTTAGCATTAATGTTGAACTCAGGAACGCCATCAGGAAGAAAAAACATTCCGCCCAACACAAATTTAATGTGTTGTAAGATAATGCCGCAACGTTAGACATAGAGCTGATGAAATAAGCAAAACCGCATCTAGGGCATTTTTCAACCAAGTTCTGATCAAATCTCAGAGAAAAGCGCTG